TATTCCTATCACCATACTCGTCAATCACATTGTTCCTGAGCCATATATGGTAAGCAAAGTTGTTGAAACTCGGAGGGATAAATCAATGCAATTCCTATAAATGATTTGAAGAAATTTGCATGACTTTCGATATGGTTAATGCTCTTGTTTTTGCAGGATGAGATATTTCATATACCACAGGTTCAGAAATACTGCAAGGGAGATTTTGGAAGTTGGGATCCTATGATTACTACACCTCCTGGCCTGTATTGTTCTTGGAAACTTGATGCTTGTTGCCCTATACATTGAATAAAGAATAATACTATAGCTGATTGATCTGATGGACTGAATGAAATGATAAAGGAATATAAAAAGACAAAAAAAAAAAAAAAGTTACTTCCTAACTATGGCTTCCAGTGGTTAGAAAGTCCTAAATAATTTATGGATTGTTGCACACATACTAATTTGTGTTCAAGCAAAAACTCATACAGTGGTGTTGAATTTTGTGTATATTATGCGCTGTGCCATCAGAAGCAGACACAGAGTTACTGAATAAGATTTATAACTAGGTCCATTATGTGACCTGGAATTATGATATTTTCTAGAGTATATTCCTTTGAAGGTTTGTTTGCTAAAATGCTCTTTTGATTCTTCTAATTTTCTCAGTAAATCAACATAGTTTCTATAGTTATTATCAGAGCAATCTTATTTCTCTAGTTTTCTTGCAGAACTATTTAGTCATCTCCAGTTTCAATTAGGCCTATCCTTTTCATCTACTTATTTGAAAATAAAAAGGCTTATATGCTCTCTTAGTTGTCAGGTCACTCAGTCAATGTGCTGTTGACTTGATGTTGTTTCTGTTGACATGCCAATGCCATATTTTCCGATGGGGAATTACCTTTGTTGTTGCAACTCTCTTTGTTGACATGGAGATGAAGTGGTAGAAGCCTCGTTCAAATTGAAGAGGGCAACATTGTTCAATTGAAACTAGGGAGACCAATATTTGAAAATTTTTAAAAACTGGAGGAATTAAAACTGCAATTAAGTCCCAAAGAAAGTATTCAAAGATAATTTTAAGCTCCCTCTGACTTATAGGAGGTTATTTATCATCCTTCAGCCCCTTTAACTATCATATTCCATTGCTTGAATATGATAATTAGAGAGATGAGTTGCTCTAGTTTAAACTCAAGGCATTAAGTATATGTTTGGTTTTCAGTTTACATCTGGCAAAAGTGCATTTGGAGAATCCAACTATTTGTTGGATTTGACAAGAGAACATCCTAGATGTGGTTTAAATGTGCTTGAGGGTTACCCAAACAGGCCCTAAGTTGCATTGATGAGTAATCTAGAAGGATAACATTGATGAAATTGCTGCAATTTATAATTAGATTTTTTTTTGTCCTTTTATGTTTAGACTACAGTATTAGGATCTTAAGTCATTAAATATTAAGTTTGTGCAATGATGTTTTTTAAAATAATTGAATACTATGTACAGAATAAGTTGAGCTATCAATTATACAAAGTTTTGTTTACTGATCTCATTGCATTATTCTGATTTTGTCAAAGAGTATTTGAAAATGATGGTGATTGATGCACGAACCATGTTTAGTGCTTCTCTTCTCTGAGGAACATGCTGAGGAACTTCAATAGTCCTGCATAGATAACCAACTTTTTATAACCAAAAAAAATATATATATATATATATTAAAAACAAGATACTGTCAAATACCAAGGTTGATCTTTGCAATATTAAAACTTTGCAGGTACTGTCTTTCACTTGCCCATGTTGCTTCTTTGTTTCCAGGCTTTTACACAGTGCAAGCTGCTTCAACATTTGCTGATTTGTGCTCCACTTCAATTCTTCGATCATTCAACAGTGTCTTAGCAGTTGCATGCAGCATAATTATTTATGACATAAATACTCACTTGAAGCCAACACTTGATGATAAACAGGCGGTGCTTCAAGCAGTGGTTCTATCCTTGTATCCCCTCCACTGGTTCTTCACTTTTCTCTATTATACAGATGTTGCATCTGTATCGGCAGTGCTGGCTATGTATCTTGCATGCTTGAAAAAGAATTACTGGCTTAGCGCATTGGTAAGGTATTTTTAGGAGTTTATGCTGTAAACTATCCTTCCACAATGGGATTTGTCTGTTTTATTTTGGTGGATTTAATATTTTCATCCCAGAGCTCCTCTTTTCTAGTACTCTGCATTGCTTATTGAGCGTGCATTTTTAATGCACTGGTTTTCAACAAAGTTGCCTGCCATCTAGAATTCTTGGCTATGTGTAGATCTGATTTAGCAATGTCCTGTTTGTTTCTACTTTCTACATTGTCAGGCAGAAACTTACCTTTAGAAAACTTGATGAACACTAGGTTTGTCCTAGCACTTTGGAGTATTTTCTTCTGATTTATTTTGAAAGTTCTGATGCAAAAAAAGGAGAGCAAAATTTTGTGCCAACATATGGTTTATGCTTCTCTTTGGTTTGTACTGTTGGAGAAGAATTTCATGACCTTTGTTTTGTCCCTGCATCTTTTGTGGGAAAGGATGGAATAATCTTTGTTTATGGCTTCCCTTTGGTACCCTGTGCATGTTTGTTTATGATAGAGTACCGAGTAGCATTGGATAATGGGTGATGTGGTGTAGTTATAGAAATATCAGGAATAATTATTATTTTCAAGTTATTTTAGATATTATCTGTTTAATAATATTTTTAAGATTATTTTTATGTTTTGTTGAGTGGTCCTTAAATTTAGGAGTATTGGGTATTGTAGATTATGTTAGTAATTTTATTTATTTATTTATTTTTCTGATAGTTATGCCCCATTATCTGAGTTATGGATTAATGGGAGTATTTTTAGGAATTATTAATCATTTTTCTGTCTATAAATACTAAGGCACAACATGTAGAAATCATCTGGAAATACAATCATTATTTTGTTATATGAGTGGAGATTTTCCTTTGGCTTCATTAGTTGTATGAGTTTAAGATTCTTGCTCATCTTTTATTAAAGATTTTCCTTTATCTTTATTAATTTATTCTGATTTCATATTTTAACAAAGATTTATTTTCCTTATTTCTCCCTACCTATATTGGATCCTGTCAGTTTAAAGGGAGATTCAATTTTTTACATGTAGAAATCAGTCAGCTTTGCTTTTTTTAAATTTCTTAGGTTTTCCTCTTTTGTTGCTTATCTTATGTTGGGAATATTGTATGCCTCCCGATGTCTAATTTATTTTCCTTTCCCTGTAAAACTGTTTTTACTCAATTAGAATAATAGATACACAGATGCCCCACGATTTAACATTCTTGCATGGCTGATGAACGTATACTAGACAGACGTTAGGTGTTTCTCAATGTTGTTTACTGGGTTCTTGCTAGCAACCAGGAAAATCACATCATATGTCCATGTCATTGTCTAAATAAATCTCTGTTATCTTTTTTCTTGCATGCCCACAAAGTTCAAGGCAATATTCAAGAAGTTTAATTTTATAAATTAGCTGATACTATTTGAACTCAAAGGTCTATCCTTTTTTTCATTTCTGAGCTTGGTACAGTTTTATCTCCATGTTTCTTTTTTCTTGCATGCCCTTTTTGTTCTGGATCATCAACATTCAAGTGTCGGTTATTTTACTTGGCTATTGGACTCTGTTGTATGCAACTTTTGATGCTTCTGTGATTAAAGTGATAATTTTATTTGACATTGGGAAGCTTTTTTGATATGGTGCATTTTTTTTCCTTTAATCTATGCATGTTGATGATTAAATTTATGGATATGTCATATGGAATATGGGTGGGAAAAACTTTGGTGAAAGATGGACAATTTATTTTACTTGCAAATGCTAAATTTTAGAGTGTGAGTAACTAATCCAATTTTATTTATGCAGATTGGAGCCTTCTCAGTGGTTATTCGACAAACAAATATTATATGGGTACTTTTTGTCGCATGTACTCAGATCATAGACATTGCTATGACACACGGAAAGAAAAATGCAATAACAGCAGAGTCGGATCTGGCTATAACTAAACCCGGGTTGGCATGTGATAGCAGCACTAGTACAGTGGGTTTAAATCCGAGAAAGCGAAAGGGTGTTAAAGCAGCAGAAACTGTCAAGAGTTATATGCCCAACGCACCTGCATCTTCTCCTGCCCCTTCAGGTTTATTATTTACTTGTTTAGTGCCTAGCCTTTTTTATGCTGGTGAGCAAGTGACGTTGTAACCTGGCTGCAGAAAAGTTATTCGCATCTCCCTCTGTTTTTTTTTTTTTAAATGAAATATTAAAATAACTACATATCCGGTTTCTTCTTGCAGGCCTGCTTGAGGATATTTGGGCAATCCTTTTAACGTTATGGCACATGAAGTGGGAACTTTTGATCTCATTCAGCCCCTTTGTGATGGTATTGGTTGCCTTTGTTTTGTTTGTCCTTTGGAATGGGAGTATTGTTCTTGGTAAGATTCCTTCTGTTAATTATCCCATGTAAATTTTTGGCCACTAAAACTCCTATTTTGACTTGTCTTTCTGACACTTCAGGTGCAAAAGAAGCTCATGCAGTTACCCCGCATTTTGCTCAGATACTTTATTTCAGTTTGGTTTCTGTAATGGCTCTGGCTCCTATGAATTTCACTGTCACCCATGCTACAGACCAGTTCCAGCACTTTAGGAAAAATATGACCTTTGGTTTCTTTCTGGGGTTCATGGCTCTGACCGCGGGCTTTGTCTCTGTACACTTTTTCAGGTTAGCTCAGAAAATTAATTACACATTTAGAACATAAAATTTATTACGTGTTTTGATTATTAGCAACAATATGCATGCTTTGAAATTTTAAACTGATTTGTCTTGTCAATAAATAGGGTGGAGGTGCCGTTAAAATTATATTCCCCTTTCCCAGTACTTTTTATTGCTATCTTCCATTGCTTATTATCTTACAATATGGAGCGTTGTCAATACGATCTATTTAAATTCTAATCACTCCGAAAAATCAATTTCTCCTTTTGTCTATGCTTCATCTAGGGTTTAGCACTTGATACATTTTTAATGAACCAATAATAATTATTATTTGGTCCATTAATTGTTATGACTACTTAACTTTACTACTTGAAAATTATTTACTGTATGAGTTAATCTCTAAAGCAGCAAACTAGCTATCCATTAATCCTTTTTACAGTGACTGAAGGATATGAGGATGATTATTATTTTGGATTTTTTGGATGATTATCACAGAACCAGTTATGTAAAGACCTAATTATTTGTTTATATTTGTCTTCTGTCAACTGTGTATATGTAGCAACACTGGTTTATGAGAAGCTCACTCAGATGAAAATAAACTCAGCTTTTATAACTTTTTATGCATTCTTAGTCTGTTTTACTCTCATTTTGTAATCACTGTTAGTTGATTAATGCAGTGTTGCTCATCCATACCTTCTCGCTGACAACCGGCACTACCCTTTCTATATCTGGAGGAAGATCATCATGGCTCACTGGTCAATCAAATACCTTATGGTTCCACTTTATATATGGTCATGGCTTTCCATTATCCGTACCTTGGGTGAGCACAAATCCTTAGCAAGCATTCTTTTAAGTTTCATTTGCTTATAACGTTATGGCTTATTAACTACTGTCTTCTGCCAAACAGGGAAATTTCAAAATAAAATCTGGGTTTTGGCATACTTTCTGGCTACTGCTGCTGTTCTCGTTCCAGCTCCTCTTATAGAGTTTAGATACTACACCATACCATTCTTCTTCTTGGTGCTTCACAGTAATGGTGATAAAAGTGGACGTTGGTATCTCACAGGGATGTTATACATTTGTGTAAATGTTTTCACAATGATGATGTTTTTGTTTAGGCCATTCAGTTGGGATCATGAGCCTGGAATCCAAAGGTTTATATGGTAAGTTAATTCACAGGAAAAAGAAGAGAGTTTTCATGCGCTTAAGGGATTTTATTTGATTGGAAAACAATTCAGTTTGTTTTGTTGTCCTTTCTTTTCTTTTCAAGTTCTCTTGTAATCATGTAAATCTTAATTAAGCAGGAATGACGTACCTGAGGCCCCATTGCATTTTTCTGTTCTAATTGATTTGCGCACTTTGCTAAACTTAGTTTTGCCTTCTGTTTGGGTTCCAACTCTCTCTGGAGTCGTTCAAAATCAAATTTAGCGGGGCTGGACCCTATAATTCAAATTGAGCAAACAAGAAGTGGGGCTCATTCCTAATAATATTCTGGCTGAGCTAGAAAGATGCTCGAGGAATTTTCTTTGAAACTCTTTTGATAGAACCAAGAAGCCTTATCTTCTTTTTTTTTTTTTGGGATTGTGTCACTAAGGATAAATCAAATGGGGGACTCGGACTCAAAAATCTCAAGAACCAAAATATTACCTACATCATGAATTATGTTGGGGTCTCATCACTCAACCTAAACGTCTTTGGGTTTAAATTTTTCAGGATGAATACAAATGTAACAAAATGACTATTCCAATGGTCTATAGATCAAGTTCTTCTTACACTTGGAGCAGTATTTGCAGAATTTGGGAAAATTGTCTCAGGTCGGATGGAGAGTGGATAAAGGTAACCAAATATTTTTTTTGTATGACAAATGGGCTTCTTTTCCTGAATCTTTTGTTAAATATGCACTCCTTGGTGCTAAATCTATTCTTCACACCAAAATCTCTGATTTATGCACGCCTTTTAGAAGATGAAATTTCAACTTTCTTAATCATCATCTTCACCCTAATGTGATTAATCAAATCGCTCTTGTTCAACTTCCTAACTCTCATGGTGCTGATGGGGCCCTTTGTTAGAGGCCTTCCTTTGATGGAAATTTTTTTATAAAATCCGCTTACAAAAAGCTGGAATCCCAAAACGAACAAAAATTTATTGATATTTGGTCTAAAATTTGGAAGTGGCCTATATATGAAAAAATCAAATGTTTCTTGTGGAAAGCGGCTTGGGATCATCTACAGAGTAATTTTACAACCGATGAAGGACACAACCTAATACAACAAAACTGCATCTTTGGTTATAACTCTCCTGATTCTTTAATTCACATCTTATGAGATTGCAAAAAAGTGCGGGAGGTTTGGCTAAAGTTAGTCAATCCTTTCAAGCTAAATAATTTTTTCTCTCTTAATATGCAAGACTGGATAGCTTGGAATGAAAGAAATGAAGCAGGGAATACTAGCACAAGAAAAATTAATTGGCAAAAGCTCTTTGCTCATGTCTGTTAGAACATATGGAAAATGAGATGCAAGAGATTGTATTCTGAAGATGACAATCAAGACAAAGATATCACCTTCTCTTGTACCCAACAAATCATAAATGACATGTGGCTTTTATCAAGAGTGGATATTTTGAATAACAACAGACTCAAATCCAAGTCTAAATGGCATCCTCCAAAGGCAAGATGGATTAGGCTTGATGTAAACGGCTTAGTTAACTCTCTTGGTGCTGCAACTTGTGGTGGAGTCATCCGTGATGAAAAAGAAAATTGGATTATTGGTTTCTCAAAATTTCTTGGCTATCAACCTTATACTGCAGTTGAATTATCAGGCATTTTAGAAGGCCTTTAGATTGGTTAGAATGCTAATCTTACCAAGATTAATTTATACACTGACTTTATGGAAGCTCTTTCTCTTATTCAACATAATTTCTCCAAAAGTCATCCTCTAGTGGCAACCATCAAGAAAATAAGGGAGCTTATTATGAGAAACTGGACGGTTATTGTTGATCATGTTTTTAGAAAGGCAAACAAATGTGCTAATTTGCTCACACGTGAAACTTCGTATGACCACTACGACCTCTCTATCTATAATGTTCCGCCTATAGGATATAAGAACATCTTGGACTCTGATGTGTCTTGACTTTTGTAACCCTAGCACGGTCTTGTCTGTGTCTTTTCATTCAAACAAAAATTGAGCAAACAAGTGGCTATAATACCTAGAAAAAAGGTGTCAAGAAAAAACAAATGGTAAAATAATAAATTTAGTCATAAATTATCTTTCTAGAAATATCTGGTGGCCTAAACTATTTAATAGTGTAAAATAAATTATGAACTTTTAAAAATAAAGTATTTATCAGCCTGCCATTAACTTTAGTTGACAACCATTATGTAGGGCCTATAATAGCACATGACACAACACATCAATATAATAAAAGTGTAAATTTAATCACGAATTATTTTTTAAAAAACACTGGGTAGTCTTGATTATAAAAAAAGGATCATTTAATATCTTCTCCTTAATTTTGAATAAACATCATTTATTTTTACTTATTTTCATACTTATGAGGCTCATAAAGTATCAATCTTTTCAATCTTCTTGCCTTCATTATCAGTATCAGTTCAAGAAAAAGAGATTCAAAGAGTTCTTATCTGAAAATATTTACAAGGATGATGCCAATGAAGTAGAAGATTGATTCTACTATGCATGGAGAAGCTTGATTCTAGCTTAATTTAGCTACGAATGATTTCTTCTACTTTGTTAGCACCGTTTTCATGAATATCTTCAAATAAAAACTTTGACCCTCTTCTTTTCAAGCTGAGATTCGAAATGAAGGTAAGAAGATTGAAGAGATTGATGCTTTATGGGCCTCATAAATATTAAAATAAACATTGTTTGGTTAAAATTGAGGGAAAAGTGTTGGATGGTTCATTTTTTTATAGTAGAAGCTACTCAGTGCTTTTTAAAAAATAGTTCGTAACTAAATTTGTACTTTTACTGTGCTAACTTGTCGTGCCCATGTTGTGCCACGTGTCATTGTGGGCCCCACATAACATCTGTTAATTAAAGTTAATGGCGGGCTACCGGATACTCCATTTTTAAAAGTTCATAATTTATTTTGTACTATTTAATAGTTTAAGCTATCATATACTTCTCAAAAAATAGTATATGGTCAAATTTACACCTTTACTCAAAAACAAATGTGAAGGTAACATATGTGAAGATAGAGAAAAACTTGGAGAATTTTAGAGGAAAATAATGATGCAGTATTTTAAAAGTTGGATTGGACCATGAATCAAAAAGTATGGCATTTTATGGTTCTTATAATCTAGTTAGTTAAACTGGCAGTCTAGCTAATGATGTAATAATTAAATAAAAATATTATATACACATATAATAATATAAATATAAAAAATAAACAGGAAACTGTTAAAAAAAAATCTGCATGAAAGAACTAGCATCTATCATGCGAATTATTAAAAATATATACTAATTGAGGATTTATAATTTTCAGTTCAGGTTAAACTTACCCGGTGTTGTCATTTAATTTTAGAATTTAGATTCATTTTTTTTAATAAGAAAAAGCATCAGACCAGTCTGGCCCTGTCCTGTTCCCAATTCTATACCTGGCTCAACCCTTTGAACCTTTTTTTTTTTTTTGGAAGAAAACCAAGCTTTTAATGGTCAAATTGGTAAGACTATTCGGTCTGGCCCCTTCTTAAAACATCTGATATGAATATATGATGTATATTAACCTCAAGTTATTTTTGTCTATCTAGCATTTCCTTCATTGTTTTTTTAAACAAAATTTCCTTTATTGTCTTATTGCTCAAAGGTATAGATATAATGTATATTAATTTGAGGTTGTTTTTCAGGCACAAATAATATTAAATATGAGCACAGTTTTTAACGAAAATTTGAAATGTGGTTCATCTCATTTTACTGCACCTAATCTCAAAAGATTCCCCCATTTTTTTAAATACGTGAAAATAAATTATACTTAGTATATGGTTTGTTGTTTTTTAATATAAGTAAAACAATAATTTTAAAAAAGTATTTATGAATTTTTTTTAAATTGTCCTCATTAAATGATAATATTATTAAATTAGAAAAAAATTAAAATTAATCACAAAGATATTTTAATTTGTATAAGTATTAAAATTAATCGATTAACCAATTATAGTAAGGGTCCGTTTGGATTTCAGTTGAGTATAATAGATTATGAAAATAATTGATTAAGTGGTAGATTTTAATCATAATTGATTATGTTATAACGCAATTTGTTTAGATACTGTTTTTCTAAAATTGATTTTAACAGAATTAAAGATGTTTAAATAATTTAATTAGAATGTTATATAAATTACTATATAATTTAATTTTTAAATACCAAATATCAATTTTTTGAAGATGCAAAGTTCAAATTTTATTAAGAAAAAAAAAAAGAGAAAAGAAGAGAGTCTGGTTTTATTTTTATTAAATTATATGGCTTTTTTATAATTTTTTCTTGAGCCTGTCTTTGTAATTTTCGCCAATATTTTGGAAATAATCGATATTTGGCCTAAAAATGATTCTACAAAGAAGTGGGTGTTTGGATAATTTTTTGGAGAATCGATTTTTTAAGCCAAAAATCGATTATATTTGCCATCCAAACACAATGTAACATGTAAATTCACAGGAGTCCCCACAAAAATTCATTTACGGACACCTTCGTAAATAATAAATCTGAATACCCAAATGCTCGGAGCTACACTCTGCTCGGTGCCACCGTCTTCAACCTCTCTGGTCTATTTGCTTGAATACTCATCTTTCTTCGCCATGAATGTCTATTACAGCTTCTCTCTCCGTCGCCTTCGTAGACTGCATTCTCCACCACCTTATATCACCGCAGCCACTTCCTTCTCCACGACCGCCGCCGCCGGCTACTTTGATTCCACTCTTATCAAATCCTACACCGTGACACCGCCAATCAAACCCTGGCCTCAGCGCCTCTACCCCAAGCGTCTCGTTTCAATGATCACCCGTCAACAAAAGCTCGACCTTGCCTTCCAAATTTTCGACTACGCGGGCAAATATCATCCTGGGTTTTCCCACAACTATGATACATATCACGCCATCATTCAGAGACTCTCCCGGGCACGTGAATTCGATCAAGTCGAAGAACTTCTCTCTCAGTTGCAGCGCTCTGGAATAAAATGCGGCGAGCAATTGTTCATAAATTTGACTCGGAGTTATGGGCTTGCAGGTAAGCCCAAACTGGCCGTTAGAACCTTCTTGCAGATAGAAGCATTCGGGATTAATCGATCGGTGAGATCGCTGAACACTTTGCTTAATGCTTTGGTCCAGAATAAACGATACGATTGGGTTCACTTGATGTTTAGAAACTGTAAAACGAAGTTTGGTGTTATACCTAATGTCTTTACCTGTAACATTTTGATTAAAGCTCTTTGCAAGAAAAATGACGTTGAGGGTGCGATTAAGGTTATGGATGAGATGCCAGTAATGGGTATGATTCCAAATGTGGTGACTTATACTACAATTTTAGGTGGGTATGTTTCTAGAGGTGATATGAATGGTGCTAAGAGGGTTTTTGGTGAAATTTTTGATAGAGGGTGGTTACCTGATGCTACTACTTACACAATTTTGATAGATGGATTTTGTAAGCAAGGGCGTTTGATCGATGCAATTAAGGTAATGGATGATATGGAAGAGAATGGGGTTGAACCAAATGATGTCACTTATGGGGTTATGATTGAGGCTTACTGCAAGGGCAAGAAATCCGGGGAAGCTTTTAACTTGCTTGATGATATGCTTGACAAAAAATATATACCAAGTTCATCATTGTGTTGTAAGGTCATAGATTTGTTGTGCCAGGAAGGAAATGTTGAAAAAGCTGTTGAGCTGTGGAGGAGGCTTTTGAAGAAGAATTGTACTCCTGACAATGCTGTATCTAGTACTCTGATACATTGGCTTTGTAAAAAAGGAAATATATGGGAAGCAAAGAAAATGTTTGATGAATTGGAGAGAGGTTCTATTCCCAGTCTCTTGACTTATAACATGCTAATTGCTGGAATGTGTGAGACAGGGGAACTTTGTGAGGCTGCTAGGTTATGGGATGACATGGTGGAAAAGGGGTGTGTTCCTAATGCTTTTACATATAACATGCTGATTAAAGGATTTTGTAAAGTTGATAATGCAAAGGGGGGTATCAAAATTCTGGAGGAGATGTTAGAAAAAGGCTGTTCACCTAACAAAACAACTTACTCAATGTTGATTGAAGGGCTTTCTGTTTCAGGAATGGAGGATGAAATAAAAAGGGTAGTTGCAATGGCTTCATCCTTCGGAATTGATAGTGATACGCAGGATCTTTTCTTAAGTAAGGTCAATGAAGCTAGACGTGATAAAAATTTAGCTGCAAAAGTCTCATAAACTGCAGAGTAAAATGTGTCAATGTTGTGAAATGCAGACTGCATGAACTTGTAATTGGTGGAAGATGACATGTAACAGTCAAGGTGTTTCGTATAATGTGGTGGTATTCTCAGAGCTTGTGTCTGCTATATATGTGACAAAATACAGTCCAGTTTTAACTTGAGAGCTTTAAGGAGTTGCAGAAAAATTGTTGTTGCAGGGTTTGATCTTTGAGTGATCTAATTACAGCAGCATACCATTTAGCAACATGTCACAGCTTAATCTGCTAAGTTGAAGCTCTGTTTGTACTACATTGTACCTGGGACATTTATTTGCCAATTCAAGTATCTTGTCCTACAGCTTAGGGCGGGCTGTAAATAACTATCCTGGGTGTCTCCGTTGCTGAAACAGACCTTGAGAACCAATATTTGCAGGTTTCTCTTGTTCTCTGCTGATGGCAGTGCGTGAATTCTATCAACAAAGACATACGGTGAACTTCTAGTATTGCTTTAACTTGTTGCTACGCTAGGATGGCATAGACAGGTTACTCAATCAATTGTTCAAGAATTGTTGAAGGCTGCTTGTGGCACTATCAGTAGTCCATGTTGTGGAGGTCAGATGAAGCTGTAGTAAATAATGCAATCAAAGTTGTATGGAGAAAACACGACTCAGACTATGGATGGTTTTCTCTGAATTTGGATACTCACAAACCCTTTTTGAACTCGGAAATTCAGTTAAATTGAACTTTATTTGGTCAAATCATGCCATGAAACCCTGTTGACCCAATTTAGGTATAAGCAGTTCTTGTCTATTTATTGTTCTCCACGGACGTGATACTTGATGATAAATATTCAGCATTTCTGCTTTGAATGACAACGCTAATGGGACCGATGCCTGAGTGCCATCTGGTGCTGCATGTGGCAAAACTTTTTGCAACTAGTGTGAAAGTTATATTTCCTCCATCTGTTGGAAGAAAAGAATGCTTACCCGTTGCCTTGATCATAAAATGGAGAAAGTAAGGTGTGATGAAATTCTTGGGGTGTATGTTGAATACACCCCACCATTAGCTTTATGGAAAAGAATAATGCAGGGAATGTTTCTTCAGCATCATGGCAGGTCTTGCTCTCAAAACCAAGGTTCTAAGAGAAGGAATGTGGAGAGAACAGGGTGCTGTATTGTCGGTGCCAGGAGCACTAAACATTAACCAGTTAAATATTTGATCAAGATAACCTTGAATTGGTGTAATTTTAATCTATTATTTGAGCATATTGTCACTTTTCTGTAAATCAGTCTTGTAGCATTCACCAAATCTGTTCTTAGATTTTTTTTTTTTTGTGAATAAAGTATAACATAGATTTTCCCATCAATAAGAGTGATCCAATATGAATTTTTTAACGATGAATACCGAATATCTATACTTATCAAGCCTAGTTAGAAATGTGCAAGCTTATCGTCAGTTCAATGTTAATATGCGAAAAACAACCGGGTGAGTTCATTGTTCATTTGATGGAGCTACTATCCTTCGGAAGCTTTAAAAAAGGGTTAATATATAATTTAAAATTTAAATTATAAGTCCAATGTTGACTTGAACTTTAAATTATTATTTGATATATTTTAAATTCTAAACAATTATTTGGTACCACTTCGCCCTTATTATTAAATTAAACGTTCGTTATTTTTTAAAAAAATGAGGTTTAATGTGCAATTCTCTTCAAAGAATGTAGTAGAGAGAGGAAGAGTGATTGTAGAGTTAGGAATATAGACCAACTTAAATTATACTAGTTAAGTTAGATTCAACTCATTTTCGTATGAGTTGAAAAAAGTATCAACCCAACCCAACTTTTAAGGGTGGGCAAGTTAAATAAGCTAACTTATCAACCCATTTATTTTAAAAAATACACCTAAATGATGAGTTTCAATTTAATATTTCTTTATGATTCCTTCTAAATATACCAAAATATTAATATATAATATTTGTATAAAATATATGAATTGATCTAGCTAAGTAAATTATGTCCAGCATGGTTTATATCCACAAAATCTCTCCCCTTTTTCCTTTTTTTAATTTTTTTAAAAAATCATGAGTTAACAAGGTCAACCTTAATCCATCAAGGTTAACTTATATTATTCACGAGCTATATGATCCAAACTAGAAAAACCTCACTTTCATCTGAGTCAATTTTTTCCAACCAACTTAGCCTTTATGACCAGTTATTCAAAGCTAACTTATATAACCCAATTCATATTCCCAACACATGAAATTAAATATATACCCTTTAAACTATAATATAAAGCATTTTTAAAGAACTTTACTTAATTCAAAATATAAGGTATTGAATAATTTTTATGTTTATTTTTTAACTATACCCTCACTTTATTTATTACTTTTTTTGAAAAAAAATCATACATTGAAATTTTTATTATTATTATCGAGACTTTTATATACAGTATTTAATGAGAGTATAAATGAAAAGATATAAATATTTTTAAAAATTTAAAGTTTTAAATAACACTATTTGTAAATATAAATTAGTTAACTATATAATTTATATTGTGATCGAAAGGAAATATATGTATATATAAAGTTAAAGGAAAACAACTAACCTTTACATGGAGAAGTTTTTTAGTACCCCCATCTTGTAGTCATGAAAGATTATCTCTTGTCTGGAGATCCAAGCGGCCCCTTAATAAGTATTATGATAATATATTATTTTACAATTTTGTAATCGCGCTCAAAACTCCCTAATTTGTCTAGGCAGGGTTGTTGCAGAACATTAAGCTCATAAGCTTCGAAACACGACATAACCCGGTAAATTTTGCTATGCTATCTCTTCCGAACGTGATATTCACTTCATTTTTAGGGTAAAAAAAAAAAAAATCAAGGTTCAAAATCCTTCAAATCAAGCTAGGTATGGCCAAAATGAAAACTGCTGTACTTTTATATTTCAAGAATAACAATGCTGCATACTGCAAGCAATCTTGCGTGCAGTCCTGGGACACAGTAATATAAATCTCTATGATACATTCATGTCAACATCATATGGGTTGGGGGAAAAGTGTTCACTGTGAAATAAACGCTTATGTATAATTCTTTTAATGTGAATCCGTGTCCTGAACCTTTCTATCGTTAAATATCTGCAGTCCTGTATTCTCCATTGTGCAGGTTGATGGAAACTGTTGGGCCAACTATACCAAACAAAAAGCTAACTAGAGATTGGTAAATACAATGACCTCATGAGCTAAGTATCAAAATTTTATACTGAGACTCAAATCTCGTACCTTGCAACTGAATCCTAACATTCCTCCACGCTGCTTAACACTAGCTTCCTAGCCCTCAGCTAACACAATATCAATGTCATTACTCATTCACTTGTGCTACATGGCTGCACCTGGGACATAATGGAAGGTTGTGATACCAATTGATAGGAACTTTGGACTCTAAGAGAATCAAACCCCAAAAACGAGCTTGTAAGGTTGATAAGCACAAAGTCTACAAATCCCACGTCCAAATCTCATGCTTCCAATGGGAGACTCGAGTCCCTCGCTTTGCACTTGGGTCCCAATAGAGGATGAAACTTATGATCACCAAAACTACGAATATTGGCCCAGTTGATGGTTCTTCAAGACTTACACCCCACATTGAAGATATGATCCTTTTAACTTTCCACATACAAGAATATCATAGGTAGAGTCATCAGGAATAAGACCCCTATCAAGCATCTCATCATGCAGTCTAAAAGCCTCTTGCAAATTCCCCTTCCTAAAATGTCCAGCAATTAAAGTGTTATAAACAAGTACTGTAGGAGCTATATTATTTCGATCCATTTCTTTTAACATCTTGCAAGCATCCTCTAGCTGCCCTTCATTACACAGTCCATTTATCAAAACAGTATACAATATGATATCAGGCAGAATGCCCTGGGAACGCATCTCTGAGTAAATATCTAAAGCAAAACTCAATTTACCCACTTTAAGAAATCCATCAATCAGGGTAGTGTATGTCAGCAAATCACATGTAATATTCTCACTTATCATTTTCTTCTGCATTTCAATTGCTGCATCCATATTTTTCAAATTTCTGAAGCCACTAATCATGCTGTTATAAACAATTTTGTTCGGACGCAAACCAGCCTCCAGAAGTTCAGAGAAGTATTTGCTTGCATTTTCCATATCTTGCCTTTTGCAGAAACCATCAATGAGAGCACTGTATGCAATAATATCCAATTTCAACCCTTTGTTTTTCATCTCATTATGCATTTTCAAAGCGAGGTCAATGTTACTGTATTTGCAATATCCATCAATTAAACTGGTATAAGTGACAGAAGTGGGAGAAATTCCATTTTCACACATCTCCTTGTAGGTTGACATTGCTGAATCTATGTCACCTTTCTTGACATATCCACCTATGATGCTGTTATAAGTGATTGAAGTAGGAATAAAGCCCATCTCAACGAACTTGTTCAGCATATCCCTCATCTCAGACATTCGGCCAACTTTGCACATGCCATTTATAATGGTATTGAATGTGAAGTCTGCAGGTGCAATATTTGCAGCCTCCATCTGGCCAAACACACCTAACGCATGTTTAAAGTCACCTATTTTGAAGAAACCATCAATCAAGATAGTGTTAGTAATGGCATTTGGTTTTAAACCCATTTTAAGAATCTCATTCATCAAATTAAGTGCGCCATCCATGCAACCCTTTCTACAGTAACCAAGCATCATGATGTTGTAGGAAACTAGTGTTGGTACAATACCCTTGTTCATCATCTTATCCCATAAGTTACTAGCCTCGTCAACCTTACCCTTTTTACAAAGCCAGGATAAGAAGATATTATAAGTAATTACGTTAGCAATGCCATTATCAACAGCCTCATCAAACAATTTATATGCATCTTCTACCAAATTCACTTTCAAGAATCCCCGTGAGAGGTCACTAATAATATAGGCAGTGGGCTGGATGCCCATGAGTTTCATTTGGCAGTAAAGTTCATATGCCTTTTCCATAGTCCCAATCTTTGAGCACCATCCAATCAAGACAGAGAAAGTAACCTTGTTCGGAGTGAGGCCAGCCTCAATAATCTCATCAAACAAGTGTAATGCACTAGCCACATCCCCTTTCACACAAAACCCTTTCATCAAACTCGTGGCAACAACTATGTTCATTGGTATACCACTGTTCACCATCTCTTCCTTTAGTATCAATGCCCATGCAAGATTTCTCTTCTTCACACAAGCACAAATCACAGATGTGTATGTACCCACAGATGGCGTCCATCCCAGATCTTTCATCACCTTTAATAGCTTCAGTGCCAAATCTAGGCAGGGCCTCTGACAAGCAGCCTTAATAACTATGCTATATGCTGCTGCATCAAGTTCCACTCCTCTATCCAATGCCTGTTCATAATACTTCTCTGCCTCCTCAGGCTTCCCTTTTTTCAAACATGCACGCATTAATACATGCAATGTATAGCGATCACCATAGATTTCTCTTTTAACCATTTCATCGTGTAGGTCATGTATTTCATCAATCATATCTCTTCTAAGCATTGCCGTCAGAAGGATATTTATATGTGGAACCCAAGGATACACATCATGCTCAAACATTGTTTTCAAACAATCAACAGCACTTCTTATTTTATTAGCTCTAACACAGCTATTCAACAAATAACTATAAACGCAAGGATCTGATCTCAGATCGTACCTTTTCTCCAATTCAGCCAGGCGTTCCATAAGCACCATTGGGGAACCGCACAAATTTTTCAAAAGATAATTATTGAGCAAAATCCTAGCAGCTTTACGAGTCTGAGAGTTGAGTGTTAGAATATGAAGCAACAAACAGAAAACATCAATACAATCTACATAACCACTCTGTTCTTTAAAGAACTTCAACGCCAGTTGAGGCTCAGTCAGGTATCTTAGAAGGGTGTCCATGACATGATTTTTCGATATAACTGGACTGCCTTCAGTGCAGTTAGTGGACTCGGTAACCTCAGGTTCCATACAACATGAACTTCCATCTGAATGGGTTGTTGATGAAACATTCTCAAGAAAAAGGGACGACAACCGGAATTTTTCAGAAAAGTGGTTGCTTAAATCAGCCTCAGATAATTGTTTTGAGGACAGGAAATTGCAGAGTCTGTGTCGATGGAATAAAGAGAAATTGATGGAAGATACCGATCTCATTGCACAGAAGATTCACAAAGCATGAATATGAAGGAAATTTAAGTTCAAAACTTTGACCTCATAGCTTGAGGTATCTGAACCTTCACACCCTGAAGATGAGGCTCTGGCGCGAGGAGGAAGGCAGGAGAACGGTCTGCTAGGGTAACGTTTTCAAAGGAAGAAGCCGCTTTCAGGGTCGCCGGCGGCGCTGCCGATGGGAGAACCTCTGGTCGTCGTGCGCCAGGAGATGAACAAACGAACCAGCTGATACGGAGAAGATCGCAGGGTTTTACAGAAAAGAGTGACGTGGCATATTGTTATTCAACAGATTGATCGAATGGTCACAATCATCCCTCACTCCAGGAAACTGTCTGACCATGTTCACGACTTCACGTCAGCGGAATTTGAAAAACTGTTTCAAAAATCGTCCCATGATGTATGTAAGTTAAAAAACCATAACATGCTCTACAGTCTAAGATTACATGCAACTAATTAGCACAACAAAATTGTGTCAGTTGCAAGTGATTTGATCAGTGCTTCGATTTTTTTCTTAACAAGAAGTAGTCACTGTTATTAAGATCATGATTTGTGATTATTGTTTTCTAATAAATGGCAATACGTGATTCACGGTTTTTTTTTTTTGGCGCGGGGGGGGGGGTTTAACAATAACAAAAGGGGCACATGACGGATTAATTTTTTTTTTTTCAATAAAATTGGGATCTATTTTCGTTAGCCTTAATCTTCTTTATCAACTAAACTTATTATTTTTCTACCAAACTATCCATTTTAATTATACACATCAGATAGTTGGCAATGTAAATAATTAAAGGAAAGAATATTTTAACAAAACTAATACATATGTTTTATAAATAATTAACTTAATTAATTTTCTTAATCTGTGTAAGCTAGTTTATCTAGCTCCACAATGAGTATTCCAATGGAGTATCATTTTTATTTTTTATTTTTTGGGTACACCAATGGAGTATCATTTTACTAACTCAAGAGGGCAGATCAGCAAGATGCAAAGCAGTAAATGAGCAAACCGGAAAGCAAAAGCCAAGCCCAGAGCAGTACCCAAAAAAAGAAAAAAGAAAAATCGGCAAAAGCCAGAGCAGAAAGAAAGAGCAACAGAAGGTGGTAGAAGGAAACTCCAAACAAGTCAGCCAACAACAATCCTCTCTGTTCCACCATTCTCAGAAAATCAGCATCTGGGTTTTGTTTTTTATTTTTTTGAAATCTGCAAAATAATTTAAGACGATGATTGTGTCTGGTGTTTTTTTCCAGCAGTCTCAAAAAAAGTAATTCTAATTGAGCTTCTCAAATTTTATGAGAGTAATTCTTCTAACATGCATTTTTCTTTACAAAAGTAAACATCACAACCTCGGCATATTATTAAATCTCTTGCACTCAACCCAACTGTCATTAATAATTACTGTACAGTTTTCTCTTGGCAATGAAGCTTCCTTCCCCACACAAAAAAAAATTCATTGTCCGTGGCATGCATCTTCCAACATTGCAAATTGTCCCATTCAGCCTTTTCCATTGTTATTTATTTATAATGTGAAGAAGGGTGTTTCAAGAGAAGAATCCACTTGAATTCAATCTCATATCTCTAACCTCTGAAGCTCTCAATAGTGTCATCCATGGCCCCTTGAATTTGCATCTCACCTAAGAAGCAGCGATACGGGTAAGAGTATCGAGTGCGATACGTGGACACGGCTATTTTTCAAAATTTTAGGATACAGGTACGGCTATATAAATAATTAAATATTAAATATTTGGATATCCAAAAATACAATTTCAAGATGTCTAATATCATTATAAAATAAAATACAATAAATAGTTAAGCACTTAAACACTACCAAGTCGCAAAAGATAATTATCAACTTAAAGTAATTCTAATCTTTCTCATCTTCATTGACACCACCACTTCTTTCTATAAGTTCTCTCTCCAAAATTGGCTCATCTAGAGAAAAACTTGCAACTTTAAGATTTTTAGCATCATTTATTTCCTAACAATTTCCACTAATATCTCCCAATCTATTTTCTTCAGTGGAATACTTCTTACTCTTTCTTGAAAGAAGGTGAAGATTTGAATGAGCAAAAACTAAATTCTCTACTTTTTTTGAAAGCATCTTGTTTCTCTTTAGTGAATGAACAAAAGAGTAAGTGCTCCAATCACTTTCACAACAAGATGATAAGAATGGTTGATTGAGAAGTTTCAATGCAGTCCCTTAGAGTTTAGGAGCATCAGTACCATGATTGCTCCACCAAACCTTAGGCTCTAATATCCATCTATTTTATATGGAATCAAGAAAAGAAAACTCATCTGAACATTCAAAAAACTTTGAAAATTCATTCATAACTTTTTCATCTAGAAACATCCTTCTAAAGCACTTTTTCCTCTTAATTGATATTTCAGTATCTCTACGTGGAGAGACTCTATTTGGTCCACCTTCAAGCCATTGTGTTGTATAATACTTACAATAATATAATAACATCAATTGGAGTTATGATGTAAAAATGGTAAAGAAAAGAATTTCATGATAAAAAATGAGAATAACACACCTAGGATTTAATGAATGGGCAAGACAATGTAGTGGAGTGGCACTCTTTGTCCATTGATAAATGATAATATTGTAAACAACTTCATAAAATGAAGAGTACTCAAAAAGTAATTTTCTCTCATGCTTATAAATTGATTCCTTGATTTGCTATATTAATTGAATCCCATGTCTTATAAATCAAATGAAGTGTGGGTCTATCTATGTTAGCAAATCTCAGCAAATCATAAATTAGTTTAGTGAAAGAGAGAATATAATCAACCTTCTCCCACCAAAGACCATTAAGAATTATGTCTTTCACATAATAGCCTTTCCAACATTATCATTTCTATAAGCATTCCATTCTTCACTAATAACCAGTGTGCAAAGAAAAGTTTTGATAAGTTTGAATCTTTTTAACATTACAATTGTTGATACAAATCTTGTTTCGGCTATTGCAAGCAACTTTAATGGCACAAATTCATTAAACATGGCCAATCTTATAGAATGATTCATGATATATGTTCGGATAAAAACTGCATCATCCCTCACCCCAATGATCTAATGGCATTCTCTATAAATAATTTTATTTGCCTTTGTATTTTTTGCTGCACATATATTCTTCAAGGCAAGATTAAGTGTATACACCACACATGATATCCAAAAGATGTGAGGATATTCATCTTCCACCATCTTACCGGCAAATTTACAAATAGGTACATTATCAATGATTACTTGAATAACTTTATGAGACCCCACTTCTTTAAGCACTTTTTTTATCAAGTCAGCCATGTAAAATCTATCTTTATACTCACTAGTTGCATTAATTGCCTTTAAAAACATAGGACTTCCATCACTTACAGCCATAAAATTAATTAATAGCCTTCTTTGAACATCTGTCCAACCATCTATAACTATACTTATCCTCATATGATTTCAAGTCCCTTTGATTGATTTAAGTTACTTTTTAACATTGGCCCTTTCTTTTTGCAACAAAGTAGATCTTAGTGTATTATAACAAGGAGGTTTAAAACCAGGAATTACATTGTTGGCAGCATATTGAAATGCACTAATATAATATGGGTTACGTGCCAAATTGAAAGACAAGCCAGCTAAATAGAACATTCTAGCAATTTCAGCAGTTAATTTATCTCTAGCTCTTTGTTGGAAAGCTCTTTCTATTATATTTGTTGCCTTCCTTTTTTCCTAATTGTGTTCACTTTGAATAGGGGTAGAACCCTTTGTCATAAAGGGGATAAGCTCTCAGTTGGAGTTGGCAATGGCACATGTCTTGATTTGTTCTATTCTCAACCTCCTCTTGAGCTTTTCACATTTCACCTAAACAACTATCATCAACTTTAGGGCATATAATAATATCGTTTTTAGAGGTCCCTAACAAATAAAATTTAACTTTAAAATAAGGGCCATTATATTGATTATTACAATAATTACACTTCCAACTTCTATTCTCACCTTTCCCTTCATTTTCTTAAAGAACCAAAGTTACAAAAGCCCATAAAGGAGTACTCTCTTTCTGTCTTTCATTACTAGATTGAAATTGAGAATTCACACCTCCTAAACTACCACCAAGTCTAGAATTAGAAATCATTGCAGATTTAATTTCTATTGAAAAATTGTAAACAATTTCCTGCAATTTTAACATAAAGAGAGCTAATAAAAATTTAAAATAAATTAATCTTTAACTCAGCAAAATAATCCATCTAAATAAAAAAAATTCAATCAATAATTCAACATTAAATTGGGAAAACTGATCAGGTAGCTCTGCCTCTCTCGGTTCAGCAATGACTAGTGAGCATTGAGCAATAAATATCCAGCACAGCAGTAATACCAACTTGGAGATTGAGAGCAATAAATATCCAGCATTGAGCAATAAAAGAAGTGAAGATATAGAGACGCTGAAAAGCACTGATACGTGAAGAATGAAGATAAATTACCAAGACTGAAGATTGAAGACTGAAGAGATAGAGACGTTGAGGAAGAGCTTAGACGACGAGTTAGCGAGCGAAGTGAGAAGTGAAATCGCCAACGAGTCAACTGAAGAAGTACCATTGAAGAAGGATGACGGTCGATGAGGCAGCGAGCGACAGAGCGACAAACACGCAAAAGGGATCAAATGGAGTTGGAAATCTTAGGGTATCGGGTTTCTGGAGTTGGGATTGAGTAAAAAGAAGTGAAAAACACAGAGTTTCGTATCCACCCATGTTCGACCCGCATTCGCCCGTGTCCGCTCGTCTCATCTCATGTCCGCCCTTGTTTGCCAAAAACTGGGAAAACAGACATGCTATTTTCGTGTCCTGAACGCGTGTCCATGTTAAATATGTATTGACATGGACACGCCAGCCATTTTCATGTATCGGTGCTTCTGAGCATCTTACCCATTTTCTTCTTCTGCTCACTTCTTCTAGTAGCGCTTTCCTGAGCTTATCTCCCCCTACCTCTCCGGGGCCTTCCTCTGCGATCTGATCCCATCGTCCATGATTTGCTCACCAAATACAACCTCCCCAAGGGTCTTCTTCCCAAAATTGTTAAATCCTACGCTCTCTCCGATGACGGATCCTTCCACGTAGAACACCGAAAGCCTTGTTACGTGCAGTTTGACCGTTTGGTTTATTACGATGAGGTGATTATCGACAAGCTTACTTACGGATCGATGTCCAACGTGTCTAGAATACAGGTGAAGAAGCTGTTCATATGGCTGCCTGTGACCAGAATCAAAGTCAATGAGAAATCAAATACTGTTGAATTCTATGTTGGGCCGTTGTCGGAGGAGCTTCCTGCTAATCAGTTTGATGATATGCCTTCCTGCAAGCGTCAAGCATGTAGAGGGAAAGCACCACCCCGAAGCCATGTGAGGCAGTCACTATTTTTTATTTTTCAAATTTTTTCACTTGGAAAAGTGAACGATCTGGTGCTTGGGAAAATTCCTAGAAGGAGATTAGAATTATTTGCTCAAAATAATAATGATAATAATGATAATGATAATAATATCTGTTGATATTTTATTTCTACTTTAATTTAATATATGGTTTCAGAGTTAAAAAGCAGACTGAAATTCTTGGAAAATCATTATTAATCCAGCATGAGGCGGGAAGGTTTTAACAGAACTTTTCTTTCCTTCATGAGTTTTACAAAACCATTATTTGGATTCTGGCCCAACTTGCTTTTTGTAGCTGAGAGATCATTTGTAGTAATCATAGATTGGCAGTGAATATAATAACAAGTCTAATATGCAATTACAAATAATTTGAGTGAATAGCATGTAACTTGAAATGAGTTACACTAAATAAATTGTGCCATGAAGATAGTTTTATTAATTTATGGTTTCCCACAGACATGTTTGATTTGCTAGTCAAGTTCTATAGTCTTATTAATTTTTGGTTTCCCAGACATGTTTGATCTGCTGGTCAAGTTATAGTTTATTGATATTGCTGCCTTTTTCCTAATCCTTCTATTTAACCACTTCTTCCAGTTGCTGGGATCAACCTTGTTGCCGTGTAATGAGATCCTTACTCCGACAATAATTTTGCTTTGTATAGTTTGCAAATGAGATGGAACAAGGCCTTTGCCTTCTTTAAAATCCCTGTAAAGGTGTAAATCCTCTATCTTCCCCAATATAAAAGCCCATGAAGCCGCTTAAAAATGAGTGATATGCATGCTCACAATGCCACACTTCAAATCATGCACGAATAATATTGCCTTGAATTGTTTCTTTAGTAGTATTCTATGTCTTAACTTGTATTAAATGCTTAATTCCTATTTGGCAACAAATCCCAACTTCTCATTCTGCAATCTGCACCACTATTGGCCACAAAGAAGCCACCGTTGCAAGGCTAGGTTCTATGAGAAGAAAGTAAGCAAAAGAATGAGTCTTACCTATTAACAGAAAGAAAGAAAGAAAGAAAGATGAAAAGAGTGAATGTCAGGAAATTCTACAGACTACATGTCAGCATCATAAATCTTTGAAGACAAAATTTACCATGGCAATCTACTGTAAACTTGTCCGCCACACACAGCAGCGCCAATCAGTGTAACACATGTAGATGGCATGCATAACCAAAATCTGACTTGCCAGTTTTGCAAGTAGTCATAAATAAAATGGCAGTCAGTGAAGGATTCGCTAAGCGTTATGACTTATGACGATCCACAAGTTTGAAATTGAAAACTTCATGTGCTCTATCAAGTGCAGTCCAACTAGGTTGAATACAAATTAGCCAAGAAAGCATGCAATTGTTGCATTTCTTCAAACTGAACATATATCCCAGAGAGCATAAAATAAACTGCTAATTATAATAAATGCTACCTATTTCCACTCACTTTTTCCATCAGTCATACTCTTACTATTACAGCAGCAATTACTTAAAGTTGTCCACGTTATCGGGAAAATAAAAGGGTTGAAATACTACATTGTTTTCAAAGTTTCAACTCTTTCTGATGAAGTTCCTATAATTTTAAAGTTTGTTATTTGGTCCTTGTGTGTGTGCGTGTGTATAAATAGCTCTGGCATTAAACATATCTATATGTGATGATAAATTCTGCAAAACAACCTTCTTATATGTAATTTGAAGACGCACCATTCATTCCAATTAAAAAACGAAAAAAAAAAAAAAGGTCAAGGTAGATAATGAAGTAATATCCACTCACACAGTCACATCTGTAATATGAGATACCACAGGCTAGAGTGAATCAGCATAAATGATACATGATTTAGATGAGACGATGAGACAATATAATCAAGAATTCAAACGTATATTGAAAATCGACAACACTGTCAAGGCTAACATAAATAAACCAAACCAAATCGAGCATAATTTGTAAGTGGAAAAATAGATTAGGAAGCAAGCTATCACACCAACAACATAAATTCAGCTAGTAACAGCATAGCAGAAGAAATTACAGCCTTTAAAGAGTCGGGATTTCTGGGAAGATAATCAAATGGGCCAAAACAGGAAGAAATAATAGAAACCTAACGCTCAAAGAAGTGAGAAGTGAAGAGGAAACGACAAGGACATCGCTGAAAGATATCAAAACGGAAAAGAAATAAGCCATATGTTCAGGACATTTTGGATGGTGTAGTTGATCTGGTCGAGAAGGGAGGCAGTCGCAGCACAGCTTCCTCTGTCTCAATTGGATCAGACCTCAGTATCTATTGAACAACAAAGAACCGTTTAACAATCCAAGTTATACAATCTCCGAAGCATGAACTGAGTGATGTGTGTGTGCGTGCGACGCGCGCGCGTGTAGAGAGAGAGAGAGAGAGATTACCGGGTCTTGCAGCACAGGCTTGGTGTCGTCCTTTGCTGGTCTGAAAGGAGGCTTCTGGTTCTGCCGAGGCTTCTCCGAGACCCGCAAGTTGCTGTTAGGTTGTATAGAAGACTCTGAAGTATTCATCGTTTCTTCCCTTCACACAAGTCACGATGATTTTCCCTCCCGATTGGGCTCCTCTAATCGCCGATGAGCGGGTTACAATTTTGCGAATTGCGAGAGAATGGCTAAAACGCTGAATAGGCTGTCGTTTTTCAGTCCAACTTTTAGACAATAAAAATTATTTTTTTAGAAGACAAAAAGCGTTGTTAATCCTCCACATGTTTGCATTAATTACCAATTCAATCGTTTAAATTTAATTTTTATTATTTTTTATCATTCTAGTTCTCTAAGTTTGATTTATTTATTAATTTATTTTTTATTATTTAAATAAAAGATAATATTGTTAAAATATTCTAACACATAGTAGAATGGAATATTGATGATAACATTATAAATTAATAAAAAAAGTATAATTATTTATGTAAATAAAAAATACTCAAAAAATTTAAATATAAACATAATTATTGATCTCCATATTTTTATCAAATTTTGCTTTTAATCTCTATCATTTTTTTAATATTTTCAGTTTCTTTAATTGCAATAAGATTAAATAATGCTTGTTTCTCGAATCCCTAACAATGTTAAATTATAAAGGCTATAAGGACTAGAAATACTGAAATAAATTACAAGGACTAAAAAAATAAATTTCATGAAATTATAAGAATTAACAATTATATTTTTTAATTTTAAAAAACAAATAATAAAATGCAAGGTAAGAGATTATTTTGACAAAATCAAATTGATGTAAGGGCTATCTTATTTTTTTTTTTAGCTATATATGCATGTCAAATTATAAACCTACAAACTTGATAATTTAAGAAAACTTAAAAGACTAAATAAAAATAAATTTAATAAACTAAATCAATATCAAAGACAAACCTAAATATTGAAAGTTTAATTAGTTGTCTTAAAAAAAAAAAGCTAGATACAATCCTCATATAATGTGAAGAAAATAAAAAGGCAACATGTCATGTGAAGTATTAAAATAAGTGGCACTAGCCCATGCATTATTCTAAACTTACATATTTAATATACCTTTATTAAATTAAATTAAATTAAGAAAATTTTAAAGTATTACTTTTCTATTAAAAATGTAAAACAATTTTAAATGAACTACACCCTAATATATTAGTTAATTCTCTTTAAACTGACATTATCTTTTTATATTCATCTACATTTAATAGGATGTTTATCTTAAAGATAAAAAGTTACATGGTTTATTTATCATGGATATTTAAAAAAAAAACTCGTTAATTATACATTAAAGAACTAAAAATATTTTATATTTTTAAAATTCAATCTAAAAAAATGTCTTGTATTTTTAATGAAGAGAGTATAATATTAATAATAAAAATTTATTATAAAATAAGTACTATTATAAAAGATTCGTATATCTTAAATTTAATTGAAAATAAATACTTTAATTATAAAAGACTAAATATATTTTCAAAATTAAGGACATTTTATCAAGTCATATTTAAATGTTATTAGGTTTTCAGTCAAAAAAATATTATTACTTTTAATTGAGATTGAACGCGTTCTACATTTACACATATTCAAATTAAGATGTAAGACCTTTTACTTACGCTATTCTAATTTTTTTTATTAAAACTAAGGCAGGTTGGTTTTCCAACGTTAAAATTAAACTTATGTGTTAGTTTATAAATTTGGAATATATTTTGCACGACGATCCCAATACATACAGTGTATGTGCATAGCATAAAAAATGAAGGTAATGATTCCGAAAAGAAAGGGAAAATTACAATCAAGGATCTCTAAATTAACATTTTCGCAAAAAATAATTAAAATATTTTAATCTTACATTGCAGGATTAAAGGATTAAATTATAAATAATTTAAAGTATGAAATGATAAAAATATCCTTATTTAAAAAAAAAAAGTCAATCTCACAATCACTAATGACTATAGCCAATTATTAGAGCTCCAACATCAGTGATAATTAATTGATGGAAAAGGTGGCACAAAAAAAAGATTGTGATTATCAAGTTGCAAAGCCTAATAATATTAGGCAAAAAAATATATGTAATAATTTAAGTTTTCAAATCACTTTTAAATTATGACAGAATATTACTTATTAATTTCTTAATGAAAGTTATTATTTTATTTGATTTATTTAGTAATTTGATATGAAAAATTATAAATTAAAATATTTAAAAATTTATGTACTTTATAAATTCTCATTTGTAAATTGACATTTATAAATTATTAAAATAACTTATTCACATATGTAATAAATTTAATTTCAAAAGCACTTTTTTGTTATAGCATAACATAACAAAAAAGTGATTTTGAAATTTAATTTAATGACACTTATTATTTTTTAAATTTTTCTTATTAATCTAACATAACCAACTATAAATTGGGAGGCTTAATAATTTATATACTTCACAAGTTCTCATTTGTAAATTGATATTTATAAGTCCTTACAACTTGTTCATATAAATAATAAATTTAATTTCCAAAGCACTTGTTTGTTATAGCATAATAATGACGTGTTAGTTCCTAAACAAAATTTATTATTTTTCTAACTTTACTTATTAATTTAACATGATCAATTATAAATTAAAAGATTTAAAAATTAATGTATTTTATCAGTTCTCATTTGTAAATTGACATTTAAAAGT